AGCTTTCCCCTCACACAGGGGGCCTCTGTTCCTTCTGGGAAACCACGACCCTCCCCCTGACAGTTTCCTGGGCCCAGCTCCCCATGGTCAAAGCCCTCTGGAGACCCCTGGAAGACCCTGAACTAACCCACCAGCTCTGCTCTTTCTCTACCCGGGGCTGGTGGCCATGGAGAATCGAGACCTGATCCCCACGCCCTGGGAATGATCAGGAACTGGTGGAGTGGGGGAAGGGGGGTGTCGCAACCCCCCTGATAACTGCAGAGCTCCGCCTCTGACCACTGATCAGTTAGACCCAAGGAAACCTGCAGGGCCGTGGAGCTGCAGGTCTGGTGGGGAGACCAGAAGGCCTGAGGCAAACGAAAGCATCCATGCTTCCACCCTCTTCCGGACTTACCTGGTGTCGAGGGGGACCTGGGCTAACTGGGAAACCAAAAGCATCCTTTTGGGGGTGGCAGTAAGATCCTCAAAAGGGGAAGCAGACAACAGGAGGAAGAGGAACCCCATTCAGCTTGCTGGGCGGTAGGGGACCTGGCCGGGTCCCCCGTTTCTTGGGGTCCCAGCTGCTGGCAGGCTGGGCTTGGGGACCGGGTCCGGGAGGGCCTCCCAGGCCTGACCCCTCTGGAAGCAGTGTCTGGCAGTCCTCCACTCCCAGGGCGGCAGGAGGTGACCCAGCCTGGCCTTGGCCACCGCCGCTTTCTCCGCCCTGCCCCCACCTTCCATCCAGACCAGGAGGACCTCAGCAGCTCATCTCACGAACGTCAAAGGATGCTTTTTCTGTGGGGTTGGGGAAATTCGCAGCGATCAACCAGGAGACCCTCTGTACCTGCCAACTCCGGCTGGATGAAGGGCATCCTGCCTGCTTTGGTCTCTGAAGCACCCCCTCTGCTAACCCACGGGGCCAGAGACCGGGGGGTCTCAAAAAAGGTAGAGCCGGCTTGGTGTCCAGAACTGACAAAGGTTCGGCCTTTAGGGACACAAGCAAAAAAATCTGTTACCAGGATCTTAGGTCTTTATGGAGAAAAAAATGAGTTATAGCATCTCTTTCTTCCCATGCCTTCTAGTTATTTAGGTGCAGGATTTCTTCCTAAGGGGAACCCAGGTTTCTGGCCCCCTCCTCAAGGGCCCTCTCCCAGCCCCAATTCTCTTCATTTTACTTTGCCTAAGGTGAAAATCTTTGACCCTTTCCACTCCTTCCTCCCTCCCTCTCCAGGGATGTGAGCCTACTCTAGGTGACACCGATGTCCAGCTCGGAAAAGGAGGCAAGCAGGTCACCTTCACTAGGAGTGTGAGCTCAGCTCTGACCCAGGAGGCCATGTCTCCCTAGGGATGGGACACAGGCGCGCTCTGAGCAGGGGCCCACAGTGGGTGGCAGGGGAGAGCCTGGGGTTTCAGGGACTGAGAGAGGAAGGGGGGCTGTGGTCCCAGCACCTGCATTCAGACTGAGAACCTCCTAGGGGGCAGAGAAGCGGGTCCTCAGGGCTCCCCCCTCACCTCCTACACAAGGACTCAAAGACGATACCAGAGGCCCCTCTTCTCTGAGGCTGGAAGCCTAAGGGTGCCCATAATTTTTCTTCAAGAGCATAGATCTGTCTCTTAAATTCGCCCCTATAGGAAGAGTAATAATAATCATCTCATTTTTCTTCCTTAAAATATCTGAACTTTTAAAGGGAAGGGCATAAAGGAATCATGCTGTGTTCAAAGCACAAAGACTAAAATGCACCATGAGCGTAAACTCTCCAGGGTATCATGAAACCATCACTGTGAAAGCCAAACCCTCCCCCAACCTTAAACCTGCTCTCCTCCCCAGCTCCGAAGGAATCTGGCCTCCCTCCCACGGGCTTGCTATCCTGGTTGCAGACAGACTGAGCCAAGTCCAGGGAAGCAGCTGCCCCCGAGGCCTGCGCAGGCCTCCTACCTGGCTCCGGGGCAGTGACAGGAGCAGGGGCGCCTTGGGACTGGCTGGCTCCCGCCTCAGGAGCTCTGACTCAGTGCCGGGTTGAGAAGGAAAGTCAGAAGGTGAACATCCCACCAGGGGCCTTGTCTCTCTATTTCCTCACTCTGGTGCCTACCCTGGATTTGCCGCAGGCCCCAAAGGAAGCATTTGGAAAATACCTACAGGAAACAGAGGGTTTCAACTTCCGGCTTGGACCCTGCAGCTGCACCTCCTCTCTGGCGGGCGGGAGCCACAGCATCGGGGTGAAGCTGAACCAGGGCACCCTGGCTGTGCCCAGGCTTTGAGCTGGGAGGCATCAGCATCCTTACCCCCACATGGTGGCCTCTGTGCACAGTGACAGGAGCTACCACGGTATGGGGGTCCCCCCCCGCCCCCCCACCAAGGAACCCAAGCCCCGTGCCAGGATCGTCAGCAACACCGCCTCTGGTCCCTGAAAGATCCCTGCTGAATAGGCCAGATCCCTGCCTTCTCAGATGTGGAACATGAGGCTCAGAGAGGTTAAGTCATCTCCCCAAGTCATTTCTTCTAGAAACTAGCAGAACTGAGCTTTAAAAACCAGTTTTTAAGCGACTGTTACACTGAACTGAACAACAGCCCTCCCCAGAAGGCAGAGCCCCGTTCTAGGCTGCACTGACCTTATAGAAGGAGTATCTTCATTCTAAAATCCCCAGCCTCAGGGTACAGCCTCATCCTCCACCACAGATCCATGCTCAGTCACAATATTCTTGTCACAGCTTGACCTAGTGACCCTGACCAAAGGCAGCCTGTTCCTTAAAACATAAACCCCCTTTGGTCAAAACAGCGATTCCAAGAAGGCATCTAACCTTGGCTAACTCACACGAGAAAGTGGGTGTGAAAATCATTTTGGGGGTCCCTACCTGACAAGCCCAGCTCTCCAGTGATGACTTATATAACATTATGCCTTTTAAGACTCCTGATATCACTGTGGAACCGGCAGGACACGTATTATCTCCATTTCACAGATGGGCAAACTGAGGTTCAGAGACATTAAGTGCTTTGCCCAAGGTCAAACAGCTACTCAGTGGCAGGGGTAAAACAAAAACCCTGAGCATCCACGTGCACCCATGATTCCAGCTCATTTTCTGGGGCTCAAAAAAAGAGCAGTTGTTGACCAACACCTTCCTTTTTTCAGTATAGAAAGTGATCAGTGTGACCATGATTTTTGCTTGCAGTACCCTGCAAGTGCCATCTCACCAGCTGGCTTTGCTGTCCCCATTTTCCAGATGGAGAAACTGAGGTCTCCAAAGAAGAGATTGGGCCCGTCCTGCAGGGAGTGAAACTGAAAAGGAAATTCTGGACCTTCCTGATGTTCAGTGTAGAGTCCTGGCCACCCTCACCCCGTGGAAGGTCTGCGAGACCCTCCTTGGTCTGCGAGACTCAGTCACACTCTCACAGCTTATGTGGCAGCCAGCATGTCTGGAGAAAGAACATAGTCCCCTCCCCTCAACCCCACCTCAACTGTGTTGAGGTGGGGAACACTCTCTGAAGAGGGTCTGTCACATGCAGGGTCACTGTTTGGTTTCAGATTTGCTTTTTTAAGCTTTTAAGCCATTTGTGGCTTTTGCAAACAGCTTGACGACTTTTTTCCTAAAATTAAAGTGATTTTTCAAATCCAATAACCAACCTTTGAGGATGCCCACTTTGGGTTTTGTGGGAGAACAGAGAGCCAGGGCCATCAGGGGAGGAAATCTGGCCCTCCAATGTGACCCTGTCGGGTAAACGGATGATGGTGTGACCACACGGCAGCTTCCCAAACCCTCCCTGGGCCTCCAGAATCCAAAACGGGTGCACCAACCAACAGGGAGAAGGAAATCCCTCCAGAGGAAGGTGGAAATCCCATCTGGTCGGCCCTTCAAACGAGATCATTATGTCCCCGTGTAACTCCCTCTGAGGCCACAGGCCCCTGCAGGAGGCTGACCTCCACCTCTGGCCACAGGGCACCCTGCAGAGAGACCCACACAGCTTGGCTCCCCACCAGGCTGCCCCAGGTCCACTGGCCAAGAGCAATTAGCCAGGAAGGAGGGCTCTTGCCAAGTCCTGGCGAGAAGGCCGCAGCCTGGCAGAGGTGGCCCAAGTGGTTGGAGCCTCCAGGCCTCTGGGGGGCTTTTTTCAGGAGCTGAAGGTCTAAAAATAACCTGGGCCTTTGTTGTAAGCAGCCGGACCACAGAGATGGAGCTGATTTCAAGGAAGCTGAGCACGCGTGAGGGTCCGGTTCACTGAGACCTGCCCTTTGGGCAAATGATTTTTCCAGAAATGTGTCAGTAATTGTGTGTTGCTCCTGCCGCCACTGCTGCGGAGGTTCAAAGGTGGCCTGGCCCGCTCCAGCCCACGGGGCTGACATCCAACACAGACTGCTCGGAATCTGAGCGCCTCCCCACCTCTTCCTCCTCGACACATTTTTTTTTCAAAGGGAGAATCCAGCGTGGACTGGGGACTTTGGAGACAAGAGCAGACCTCGAGCTGAAGGTTCTGAGTGATGGTCACCCTGGTCATAAATAATCACATCATCCCAGTTATTTGTTTAGGGAATCATTTCTCCCTCATCCTGAAGTTCCCAGAGTCGGGTCTCAGCAGACAATGGCAAACGTACACGATGCGAAAGAAAGGAGTTACTGAGGAAAAGCAATCCGTGGTGTCACGTCAATACTGAAGGGCTGCAGTACTCGGAGCTGCAGTCCTCAGGACCAATATTCAGATTCTTGACCTGGCAGCCTTCACTCGCCTTCCCGGTTCTTGGTCCACCAGGGAAAGCTCCAGACCCAGACCGAATGGAAAGCAGAGTCTTGACCTCGCCAGAGCTCCGCCCATCCTGTGGCCTGTCTCTCCTCAAGGATGCCCCAGCTCTGACAGTCTGGTCCCTCACAAAGCCATTCCTGATGGAGAGCAAATACTGACTAGCTCTGACGGGGCCTCAGAATTACCTTCACAGCGTTGGCGCCCACCTCTCATGGCCTCCCCCTCCCTCCCCAGCACCATCTAGAGACACCCCCCCACCACCACCACCGCGGCTGTCAGTGATATCACTGGATATCTGCTGGGGGTGGGTGCAGAAAGCAGCAAAAAGTTCTTCTTCAAAGAGACGGAGGTACCAGGAGAGATTTCAGGGCTTCACCATCTAGATGGCCTCCAGGCCCTGAGTCTAGACGTTTCCAGGGAGGCTTGTAATAAATTAAAAACTTCTCTGCAGCCCTTTGTTCCTCTGCTGAGTTCGGGATGGAAAGACGAAGCTGAGGGCAGGGAGGCTGTGCGAAGGTTTCTTGGAACACGATAGATAATACGAAACACCAAACCACACAGGAATGACGGGATGGGTGGTCACAAAACGGGACCTTAAAATGGGGAACCAGTGAGAGGGCGGCGGTGCTAGAATAAATGTGAGGGAGGGTCCACAGGGCTATGGCTGGGGTCATTCTTCAAAATTTACCATCTTTCTGGCAGAAACAAGGGGTGGGGGGCTGGCTGAAGAACGGAAATCTGCATGTAGGAGGTAAGCAGACACCTCGCCCCTTGATGCCCTGTATCCACGTGCTCTGTGGTTACTGACTGACGTTCCTCCTTACAGTTGGTCTGTCTGGATATACGGGAGTAGGGGCTCGATCGGGTTTGAACTGGGCTCTGCTTCAGCCTCTCCAGCAGCAAGTCACCTTCTATGTGTGTCTGGGGACCCTAGGCCTGGCAGCCGAAGGCTGAGGCTTTTTCTTTGAGCAGTTCCCAGCATAAGTGGCAGCTCCAGCTCCCTACAAGAAACAAGACGGCATTACGAGCAGCCTCTCCCCAAGCCTCAAGCCCCACCCCTTGGCCCTAAACTTTTTATCAGCCCCATTTTATTTTGATTTTCATGATCCAGAGACCGAGTCTCAGTTCCAAAAACGTGCTGAAGTCTGTCGCTCAGCACAATAATGCTGTTCAGAAAATAAAGTGCACAGAGATGATTGGCCGATCAGCAGTGAAGACCCTGCTTCCTTGGTCATGCCTCTTAACCAGCATCACCAAGTCTGGACCAGTTTCCCTTAGAAACTCACACCTCTGCCACCATCTCAGTCATAGGCCTGGGAAACATCTCCTTAGCCTTCAAGCTGGAGTTTTAGCTGGTTGAACTGGGCCTCAGTTGCATGATCTGTAAAATGGGAGTGGTCATACCTACCTCGAAAGGTTATGACAATTAAATGGGACAAGATACGTGAAGCCCTTAGCACAAGGCCTGCACTTTAGTGAGGGCTCGGGAAGTGGTAGAAGTAGCTGTTGTTGTTATTGGTGACCTCATCATTATTACCTTCTGGGGGCTCAGCCACGGGGGGATTTAAACAGTACATGTGGTAACCACGGTCACAGTCATCGCAGAAGAGCAGCTGGTCCTGGTGGAACAGAGAGGAGGAGGAGAGGAAGAAATATGGAATTATTTAGGTTAATTATTTTTCGGGCCCCCACTGACCTATGCCACCAGCTTATTTCCATTAATCAACCTCCCTGGATACCCCATTCCCAGCCCCATTTGGAGTCCTCACTTCCCTCTGAACATGCCATGTGCTTTGTCCACACCTGGAATTTCCCCATCCGTCTTCTGAACTATGCAAACCCTACTCCCACAAAAGTGTTCTGCTCAAATTATTCCTCCTCCAAGAAGCCCCCCTAGCCCACCATCTCACACCCAAGCCTAAAGGGATTCTTTATGCTTCTGAACTCACATCACTGATAATTCTGCCTCCATAAGGGTAGAAAATTAATTTAATGCATTTCTGTATTCCTCAGGATATTTGCCTAGTAAATAGACAGTACTTTAAATGTTTGCAAATCTTAACTGAATTGCTTTGGATCTCACTCTTTCCATTTATGAAATGGGCAGCATACTTGTTTGTAACATCCATGACACCTCAGAACCTTTTCAGGGTTTCGTTACTAGAGAAATGCAAGTGATATTATGCCACCTGTCAGCTCCTAAAAGCCTCCTTGGAGGCTGGAGGTTGGAGACCAGATGAGAATAGGCCTTTCTGGCACTGTGGTTAACTTCCAAGGACACAGTTGACACCTTTGCTCCTGTAGCTCTCTCTGTTTGGAGGCTTTCCCAGTCCCTGATCCCCTCTCTTCTGAACCATTCCCTAACCACACTTCAAGTCTTCAAACACTTCACTGTTACAAAAACTTCATTAATCTACTCAAATGGAAGTTCTCTGACCCCTCTTGCATCCTCATGTACTTTCTCTTTCTTATGACATTTAATTGCACTTTCCTTTATGTTGCCAAGCCTGGCACGTGGTAGACATCTGCACACAGTCCATTTGGAACGCGGCTCTTTGGTCCACGCCTGCAGAAGTTGCACAGCCCTTGGGGCAGACCTTGTCTTACTCATCTCTACATCTCCTTCAGAACTTCTGTGCATAGGAGCTACTCAGTAAGTCTTTGTGACCTGGTCCCCATCCTCCAGGTTCAGCCCTGTTCTATTCAGTTATCTCTGGGTCTGCTTTGATGGCTTATAAGACATCTGCAAAGTTTTGTAGCAAATCTCACCTTGGCTTTTGACAGTTTAGAGATCCTGAAAAAGTAGATAGAGAAGTTGGAAACCCCTGTGAGCAAGCAGTGAGGCAGGAGAGACCATGAAAGATCTCTTTTTTATCATGCTAAGACCTTTCAATAGGACACGGTGGGAAGCTTTCAAAGGGTTAGCAACAGAGGACTGACATGGTTAGACTTGCAATTTAGAAAGATCTCACTAGCTGCTGCATCAGAATAGATACCCAGGTGGAGAGAGATTGGTTCTTGAGGCCGGAAGACCACTTAGGAGGCTACTGTAGTCATCCAGGTAAGAGATAACGTATGATGACGGTCTGAACTAGGGTGGTGGGTTGGCAGAGAGAAGAGGGGCCTGCTTCCATTTGAGAGTCATTGATCAACTGTAGAGAGTGAAAAGGAAGAAATCAGGGGTGTCTCCTAGGTTGTGGTCTTGGTCAGCAAGCCAGACGAGGCAGCCTTCCATTAAGCCAGAGCAGAGGCGCATGCCTGTGGGGAGGCCACCTCAGCTATAAACAAGTTCTGTAGGTGCACAGATCCCCTGGTGAGGGTGCCCTGAAGGCCACTGGAGATCAGAAGAGAGGCCTGAGCAACAGACATGGGTTAGGGAGTCTTTGGTGATGAGATGGTGATGAAGGTCCTGGGAGAGGAAGCCCAGGGTAAGCGAAAGCAGATGTTTTTGAACTTGTGCTCATGGAGGGGTGTCCATGAACACCTTGAAAGAAAAACACCAATACAGTATACTAACGCACACATATGGAATTTAGAGAGATGGTAACGATAACCCTATATGCAAGACAGAAAAAGAGACACAGATGTATAGAACAGACATTGGACTCTGTGGGAGAAGGCAAGGGGAGGGATGATCTGAGAGAATAGCATTGAAACTTGTATCTTATCAATTGTGAAACAGATCGCCAGTCCAGGTTTGATGCATGAGACAAGTGCTCAGGGCTAGTGCACTAGGATGACCCAGAGGGATGGGATGGGGAGGGAGGTGGGAGGGGGTTCAGGATGGGGAACACATGTAAATCCATGGCTGATTCATATCAATGTATGGCAAAAAGCACTACAATATTGTAAAGTAATTAACCTCCAACTAATATAAATAAATTTTAAAAATTAAAATTAAAAATTAAAAAAAAGAAATTAAATGTACAATTTTGCATACAGGTTCAAAAGTAAGTTTTTATAAGGAAAAAGTAAATCCATAGCTTTCATTTGAATTTTCTGAAAAATCAAGAACTCAAAAAAGTTACTGAGGAGAAGAGGTTTGGGGAACACCAAAGTTAAGGACAGGCAGACAAAAAAGAGGCTAAGAAGCAGCAGTCGGAAATGTAGGATGAAAATGAGATTGGTATAGTCTGTTCCAAGGGTTACACCATTATTGTCAGAACTCAAGTAAGCAAAATTACAATATGATTTAGGGATGATATGAGGGAAAACAAGTTAGAAGAGGGGCAAGAAACAGGGAGAGACTTGAGAAACAATATTAGCAATATCTGAAATACATTGACAGCTCCTACTTATATAAGAAGACAGGATATCCAGGTTTAGACTTTCTCAAAGGAAAACCAAGGTACCTGTGGGTTTAAATGTATCATTCATAGGTTGATAATTGTCTAGCACCATAATCTCTTCTTTTCCAATTGCTTCTCAGATAACTGCCTGCCAATATTACCAAAAAAAAAAAAAAAAAAAACCCAGCCCATGCTATCCCCCATGAGAAACACACTTTAAGGGTTTCTTACTCCTAAGTATTTAAGAACCAGAATTCACTTATGGCTACAGTTCCAGTAGAAATGGAATCCTTTTCTGGAATGTACATTCCCACCTACTCTGACAATAACCAGTCTCTCTAGTTTCTTATTTATCCTTCTTCTATTTCTCTTACACAGTTAAGAAGATATATGTATATTTTCTTATGCCTTTCTTACAAAAATGGCCATGTACTATAGATATTATTTTTACTTTGCTTTTTTATTTGACAACATATCCTGGAAATCACTCCATATTAATTCATAAAGATGATCTTATTGTTGTTGTTGTTTTATAGTTACACAGTACTTCATTGTGCCATCCCTTATTCACCCATACTGTGTATCAGCATTTAGGTCATTTCCAATATTTTGCAATTAAAAACAAGGTGATCATGAAGAACCTTATGCATATGTATTTTCACAGTGTTATGGGTATATCTTTAGGATAGGGTAGGTGAGACAGCTGAGTCAAAAGGTAAGTGCACAGTGGTTTTGTTAGGGATTGGTACAACAAAGGGTTGTACCACTTTGTTTTCCTGCTGACAATGCATAAGGGTGCCAGCTTTCCCTCAATTTCATCAACAAAATACACTGTCATACTTTTTTCCCCTAATTTTATGGGTAAGAAATGATATCTCAATTTTGTTTACAGGTAAATTTCTTTAATTATGAATGTGTTCAAACCATTTTTTTTCCCACATGTATAAGGGTCATTTTTATATCTTTTGTGAACTATCTTTCACTTTTTCCCCATTTTCTATCAAGTTTATGATCCTTTGTCCTTCAAACTTTAAGGATTCTTTATATATTATACATTGCCACCTTTATCTGTAGTATATGCTGCAAGTATTTTCTGCCAGTTTGTCAGTTATCTTTTTACTTTATTGTGTTTTTCAGTATGCAGATGTTTGTGTGGTCAGACTTGTCAACATTTTCTTTTATTCCCAGCGAATTCTGAATCACAGAAAATCTCACCTTATATTTAGATTAGAGAAGAATTTATCCATGTTTTCTTCTGATACTAATATGGTTTTACTTTTTATATGTATATCCCCAGTTCTCATGAAGACTGTTCTTCTGTATTATACAAGATATGGACCTAATTTTATCTTTTACCAAATGGTTACCCTATTGTCCCAGTACCATTCATGAAAATGTCTATCTTTGATCCAATAATTTTAGATAAACCTTTGTGTGTGTGTTTTAGTGTGTTAGCCGCTCAGTTGTGTCCAGCTCTTTGCAACCCCATGGACTGCAGCTCGCCAAGTTCCTCTGTCCCTGGGATTCTCCAGGCAAGAATACTGGAGTGGGTTGCCATTCCCTTCTCCAGCAGGTATTCCCAACCGAGGGATCAAACCTGGATCTCTCACGTTGCAGGCAGATTCTTTACCATCTGAGCCACTGGGAAGACCAAACTTAATCTGACACTAAATGTCCATATATAATTGGGTTGATCTGTGGGTCTTCTATTCCATTCCACTGGTCTTTTTGTCCATACAGTTTTAATTTCAGAGGCATTATAGCAGGTTTTAATGTCCGGTAGGGCTAGACTCCCTTCATAAGGAGCCCTTCAAAGGGCTCCTTTGTTGTTTTTCAGTGTTTCATTGACTATTCTTGCATTTTTTCCATATGAATTTTAGTATCAACTTGTCTAGTTCCATCAAAAAGGATGCTGGTGATTTTACTGGGTTTAAATCAAATTTATAAATTAACTTAGGAAGAACTGAAATCTTTACAATTTGAGTCATTCCATGCAAGATCACACCGTGTCTTCATTTGTTCAAATCTGCTTCTATGTCTTTTCAAAAGCATTTAAAAATTTTCTTTATTTAGGTTTTACATACTCTCAGCTAAGTTTATTTCTAAATATTTCTCCTTTTTTTGCTATTGTAAGTGGAGCGTCTCTACCATAATGTCTTCTAACTGGTTATTATTTGTGCATATGAAGGCTATTAATTTCTATCTGATAATTTTATATATTGCTACCTTTAATGTTTGAGTTAGCTTTATTGTTGATTCTCTAGAGCTTCCAAGATATAATAGTTTGTGAAACAGAGAAAAACTTTCTAATTTGTTACCATTCTTATTGTTATCTCTTACCTAGTCGCATTAGCTAGTATCTCTAGAATAATGAGTAGTAATAGCATTAGTGGGCATCCTTACCTGGTTCCTTATCTTAGAAATGCCTCTAGCATTTCTGCATTAAACAAGATAATGGTTTTAATTCTAAGGTATAAAAAACTTATCATGTTAAGAAAGTAATACACAATTTCTATTTTCTTGATCATGAATAGTTGTTGAATTCACTTCCTTATTTTGAAAACTGATAAAGGAAAAGAATCAAGTATTTATCCTGCTTTTTCTACAGAATCTATAGCTGAGGGTAACCAAATATAAGGCTTGGAAAGTTTCTCTTTATAGAACTACTCCAGCTATTAAACAAAGAAGAAGAAATCATAGATTAAGATTATCACTATTTACAACCCCTGATAAAATAATCAATGTTTGAAGATCACCAACAGTTGCTACCTTCACAAAAAGAGAGATACCAGGTATTATGTACCTCCTGATGAAAGTATACACCACTATTTATTAAGTAGTCTTACTATTTTTATATGTTAAAGAATGAGGCAGAGAAAAAGAGAGAGAACCTGGATCTGATAAAGCCTCTAGCTCTAAGCACCATTGTATAAGAAATACAAGAGACAGAAGAAAATGTCAAACACGACCATAGGGATACAGTCAGTAAAACAAAATCATGGGAAACTCTATTGAACAGGTAAACTGATTTCTTTAACAAAAAAATCAAGGCGGGGGAGGGGGGCGGGGAAGAGAACAAAATGAAGGGAAACCCTATGTATTAAAAGAAACTATAAAGACATACCAACTAATTGGCAATGCATGGGCCTTATTTGAATCCCAATTCAAATAAACCATAATAAAAACATTTAGAAACAAGATAATTAAGGCAATGTTTAAGACAATCAAGGCAATAGAAATATTGACTGGATGTTTGATTATATTAAGTAAGTGGTGATTTCTTAAGTCTATGTTAATATTTTGGTTAGTTTTGTTAAAAAGTAAATCCTTATGTTTTCAACTTGTAAAAAATATATTCACAATCTTTTAAAAAGTACTCTTTATCTTTTGAGATATGTATGGAATATTGTCAGGTGAAATGATATTATGACTAGGATTATAATTTCATACAAAAGAGGTGGCAACATTTACCATACAAGAGTGGACATGTACTGATCATTGTTGAAGTTGGTGATGGGGTACACAAGTCTCATTATTTTCTCTATCTTTGTATATGTTTGAAATTTTCCATAAAATAGTGTTTTTTTTAAATTCTGCATTTATTATGCTTAATATTTAGACCAAATGAGAGGACACATTCCAGAATGTGGTGTAAAAAGCCAAGCACATCCCAACAGTAAGCGATGGGCACCATTGTCTACCACTGACCCCTTGAGGGCTGAAGGCCAGCAAGGCGGTCTCTGGCCATTACCTCCTGCACCTGTTTCTAAAGGCACAAAGAGGAGCCAAGGTATTTGAGCACAAGGGTCCTCAAGCAAAAGTCAAGGGGGGAAGAGGGTCCTGATGGATATTTCCCCAGGAGTCCAGTGATGAGAATCCCACCTTCCTCTCCATCCTCAAAGGACTCCCAGCTCCTTGGGTTTCCCCTCCCACGCGGGAAACCCACACTCACATCATTCTCCGAGGTCCCACAGAGGATGCAGGACTTGCATTCTATGCACTGCCACTTGTAGGTCTTGACAGCCTCGGTCATGTTCAGGGTGAACTGCAGGCAGGTGGGGTGACCTGGAGGAAGCAGAAATGGCAGCATTAAGGCCAGAGGGTCTGACCTGTCACCCCTTCCACACCACATTATGCCTCACTTGGAGGGAGGGTGGGGTAGCATGTATTGGGAAGCAAACTGGGGGCCTGGATGGGGCCCTACCCGCCCTCTTCACCACCAGCCACAGTTACAGCAGATCAATGCCCAAAGAGAGGACTGAGGATTAACCCTTTGCTGGGGAGAGATGTCATCCAAGTCCTCTTGCCCTAACAGCCTCGTCCCCCCAGAGGTGTAACCAGTTGATGAGGACAGAAAGTGGCGATCAGAGAGAATGAGAAAGGAAATCACACGGCACAAGGCGACGCTATGAGAGTCAGCAGCATCATGTCCCCAGCATCAGTTGTGGTGGGAGCAACATAAGAGCTATTTGGAGCTGATCCTCTGACCTGCAAAGTTGTTCATGCTGCCTCAGGGCAGAGGGGAAGAGACCAGAGAGAGCACGTGAGGCTCCCGGGGCCAGAGCTCAGGGCACCGGAAGGCTCTGCATTGCCACCTAAAGCATCCCTCCGTGCCCACGACCAGGGGACCAGCAGAAGTCCACACCCTGCACAGCACCAGGAGGGAGGCTGGAGAAGTAGAGCATCACTGCAAGGATGTCCAGGTCGGTCCTCAACTCTTCCCTTCATCCCAAATATCACATTAGCCAAGCCAATAGCAAGAGCAGGGAGGGACATTAATGTGACATTAAGCACCCAGCCCCAGCGGTCCAACACTGGAGGCGTGGCCTGCAGGGCTGGTTTCTACCCTCAGTTACAGCTCACCCAAAAGACAGAGGCCATCAGCAAGAGGACAACTGTGAGCCACAGAATATGAAGCCTTTGACCTTCTGTTTGACAGGGACGGGAAACTTGGACGAGGTCCCCAGATCACTCAGAGCTGTGAATCAGAAGGCAGAGCACCCAGGGTGAAGCCCATTACCAACACTGTCACAAAAGAATGGACAGTTCTGCCTGTTGTTGGGGGTTCACCTTCTCCACAGCTCCCAATTCTGCCAAATCCACCATATCGTACATTGCTTGGCCTCTATCACATGAGGGATTGTGAGCTTCCAAAGGAGAAGAGTACAGATGGGCCTCCAGTTAGAATCAGTGGTAGAACTCTCCCACAGAGAGTCAAGATCCACAGGGTACCACCACTCCTCCGCAAAGTCACAACTCAGCAGGAGGCCCTGTTTCCTCTTTTCCATATCCTCACAAAGCTGGTTCCATCATGGTCCTTTGGGGGACATTCTGTCCATTCAGTCAACAGACAAACCCTTCAGATCTGGGGCTCCAGCAACGCACACCAGACCCAGCTATCTCTGAGAGTGAGAGTGGGGACTCGTGTTGAGGGGAGCTGGGGACACTTCACAAACAGCAGGTGGGAGCATTGAGGAGAGGAGGAGCCTAAAAGCTTCTCTAGGGCTTCTCAGAGGCCATCCAAGGTAGAAACCCCCATGGCTCTGAACCGATAACTTTCTCAAAGCGACACCATACCCGTGACCCAGGGGAGAGAGAAACCTTACATTAAAAGCTTGGATGAAATCCAGCTGATATTCCTGATGGCATCTCAAATACCTAAGGACACTGGCCAGGGTTGTTCCCTACCCTGCTCTCTCACACTGGGATGGGAACAGGAGAGAATACACCAGCTTGAGATTCTGACTGATCTGCGCCATAGATGCCCATGTTCTTAGACAGGACACCCATGACATGACAATTAATTCATGGAGCAGATACCTAGATTAGCAGGTTGTCATTGCCCAGTTCTACAGCCTCAGTGTACACCCAGTCACACCCACCCAGCTTATAGTAACTGTTCATGAACAAGGATTTATTGGACATCTGCTAGAGCAATTATGGTCCCAGACAGAAAAGATACACTGGTGAGCAAGACCACACACACCCCCACCTCCAGATGCCTCTAGTCTGGTCAGAGAGAACTCAAATTAATAAACTACACACATACCTATTTACCTATAGCTGTGTGATAAGTGCCATGAAGGAAAATCATAATTGGCAATGAAAAATCACAGGAGGATCATATCTAGTCTGAGATGTCAAGTAAACCTTCCCTGAGAAAGATCTTGGAGTTGACACCTGGCAGATGAGGAGGTTAGCTGGATGGGTAAGGAAGAGGATTCCAGTGTGGAGGATGGTGCATGGAGCGGAGGGCACTGAGCAATGGGGGAACTGGGCAAATTCAAAGGAAGGGAAAAATCAGTCGGCAGAGGCTCGCAAGCAAAGCAGGAGGCGAGGTGGGTGAGAAGCTCCCAGAGAGGAGCTAGCGTCAGATGACCCGGGCACATTATGCCCTTCATTAAGGATTTGGGGCTTTAAAATCATAAAAGCCTTTTGGGCAAGGCAGTGACTAGATTACTCTGTGTGTTTTTCTAAGATTATTAGAATTTTCATTTTTTAAAAGTTTTATTGGAGTATTGTTGTTCTACAGTGTTGTGTTAGTTTCTGCTGTAAAGTGAATCAGCTGTACATTTACATATATCCCCTCTTTTTTGGATTTAAAAGCGCATTCCTTCAGCAGGAGGGAATCTTTGGATGGTGAAGAAATTCTGAACCTTGATTGCAGTGGTAGTTATGTATGTGATGAGATTGCATAGAACAATACACACACATGTATAAACACATGTGTGTGAATATAAAACCAGTAACACAAATAAGGAGGTCAGTGATTTCATGGCTGTCAATCGCCTGGTTCAGAGTGTACTGTGGTTCATAGCATACCTGGTTCATAGTGTACTTACATACCTATAGAAGTACTACGGGTATGTAAGATGTTACCATTGGCGGAAACTGAGTGAAGGGTGCTTGGGACCTCTCAGTAATGTATTTTATAACTTTCTATGTAGTTATAATTATTTCAAAGCAAAAAGTTTAAAAGGTCTTTTTAAATAAGGAAAACACACAAAAAAATTGTCATCAAAATAAGGAAAACACACAAAAAAAATTGTCATCAGGGTGGGAGAAAAGAAAGAGCTGCTGTCAAAGGAAAGAATTGGGGGTGGAGGCAAAGGAAATATAAAGATGTAAGAACTGTTGCCAGGAAACTAGTTTGAAGACAGATGCTGCTGGAAGGAGAAAGGCAAGCATGATGGAGGTGAAGATTTGAGAAGTATTAAAGAAATCATTGGCAGGACCCAACCATGATTTGAAGTTTCAGAGTGTGGGAAAGAGAGATGATGAGAAATAGTCTCAAGATTCCGACCTAAGAAAGGAGGTGGGCTGCAGTGAAACTTATGCAGATGAGGAAGACTATGGAAAGCATAGAGGGACCAAATGGAAGAGAGAAGCACTCTGTTTTGAGCAGGTTGAATTTGGGAAGTCTGTGAGATTTGGGGTGGAAATGTCAAGTGGATGAGGTCAAATACAGGGGCTTAGAGCTCAAAAGAGAAGTACAGACTAGACATATAAATTTAGAAATTTTTGCAAAATGGGTGTGTTAATCACTCAGTTGTGTCCAACTCTTTGCAACCCCATGGACTGTAACCCACCAGACTCCTCTGTCTATGGGATTCTGCAGGCAAGAATACTGGAGTGGGTAGCCATTCCCTTCTCCAGGGGATCTTCCCACCTCAGGGATCAAACACAGGTCCCCTGCATTGCAGGCAGATTCTTTATCATCTGAGCCACCAGGGAAGTTTTGCTAAACAGGTGGCCATTGAAACCATGAGAATTAATGAAATTATCTAAGAAAAGAGGAAAGAAGAGAGAAAAAGATCTAGGACTGAGCTTTAAAGAACTGTTTGAAGATCAAAATAAAGAACCAACAGAGGAAATTGGAAGGATGGCCAGAGAGACGTAAGACCAGCAAATACAGGTCACAGAGGCCCAGAGGAGGAGAGGGTGGTCTGTTGGCTGTGTTGACTGCCAAGGTTCGTGGGTTTGTCGTTGTTCAGTAAGGACCCTGAGTGAGGGCATGTTGCCAGAGCACAGCAGAAGCCACGCTACTAATAATAACACCCTGGGCAGTGCCGCCTTCCCTGGGAAGGAAGGTCAGCACATTCCAGAGAGTGACCTGGAGACCCACAGCCTGCTAGACGCCCCCGAGGGTGGGCGGTGGGGTCGGGGTTGCAAGCTTCAGGCAGCCGACCGCACTCCACAAGTATCTACTGAACGCCAACTCTGTTCAAGACCTCTGTGACCACTGCGCTGAGCTCTGAAGACATTTTCTAGAAGAGCTTTGGACCAGTGAACAGCAGCAAGTGGGCTTGAGAAACTCCTGTTGGAAGTCCACCCTCCCCCACCCCCAAAAAATCCCATGGGCTTTCTCTGTGTTCCTGTCTTGAGACAGTCACTAGCCTCCTCGCTAAGACTTTAAACCCAAAGAAGGGGAATGGATCTCACAGAGCCTCCTCCCTGGGTAAAATGCAAGGCTCCAAGTCTGCTGGTCTACAGTCCATGGGGTTGCAAAGAGTCAGATACAACTGAGCAACTAACACTTTTTCACTTTCAGAGTCACTTCAGCTCTACCTGCAGAGCTCCTTCACTCAGAGCTCAGACTCGAGTGGGAGAGGAAAGGCAGGGATGCAACTTCTCAGCCCGGGAGGGTGAGGCACAAAGAGGTAAGTCACCCAAGCGGCCATTAGCTAGAGCAAACGCTACACCCAGAACTAGATTCTGCTTTCTGTGCCACCAGAACAGTTGCCTGTCTGTGCCTGTCTCTACAAACTGGAGAACGCATCTCCTTGATAAAACTACAAGGATAAGGCTTCTTCTCTACCATGGAAATGACTGGAATAATTGCACACTGTTGGACAAAACAAAAAGTTTCAAGGGAAACTACCAGAAGCCCATACCTAAGTTTGACTACTAGAATTCCTTATTTAGGTCAGGACGAATTTCTAAAATCTTTAGAAGTAAGTGGGTAATAGTCTTTCCAATTCAAAGTGATAGTCGCTCAGTCGTGTCCGACTCGTTGTGACCCCATGAACTATGGAATTCTCCAGGCCAGAATACTGGAGTGGGTAGCCTTTCCCTTCTCCAGGGGCTTTTCCCAATCCAGGGATCGAACCCAGGTCTCCCACATTGCAGGCAAGATTCTTTACCAGCTGAGCCACAAGAGAAGCCCTCAGTCATGTCCGACTCCTTGCAACCCAATGGACTGTAGCCCACCAGGCTCCTCCGTCCATGGAATTCTACAGGCCAGAATACTGGAGTGGGTAGCTGTACCCTTCTCCAGGGGATCTTCCCAACCCAGGGATTGAACCTGGGTCTCCTGCATGACAGGTGGATTCTTTACCAGCTGAGCCACCAGGGAAGCCCTTCCAATTCAAAGGTGGCACAAAATAGGGGCACACTGGCAATAAAGCAATTTATGGTCACTCACTACTTAAAGATTTCTGTCCTTATTTCTTTTGTAAAGTTAACAATCATTCTTTAATGTGCTTGCTTGGAAATCTGAATTTTCCATATTTCCAGTTTTCTTAAAGCAAGGAATACCTGCATCGCTATTTAAATATCCTAGTGGAGTGAAGTCACAAAGAGTCAGACACGACTAAACATGCATGTGTGTCCTAGTGGAGCGAAGGGGTAACATCCTTTCCCAGGTCCCCCAGGTAAGATGATTCAACGGGTCATTTATAAGATTCCAATTACAAAAATGGATTTAGAAAGTGGGGTGGTATGCATGAATCATCTTAGCCAGATCATTAAAAACTAGGCCCTTCCTAAATGTTCCTCCAAACTGGTTCTATCAGGAGGGTTCAATAAATCTACCCGCTTGTTTACTTGGTCCAGTGGTGAACTTGGCATGAAGAGACATTCTAAATCCAGCC